TAGGCAGCCTGAGCAGTGGCCAAACAGACAAATTCACATATAAATCTTTACAGACAGGCGAGCAGACAAGGGGTGGCACGACGAAAATGGAGATAATTGCAGAGAAGAACTGGCCGGCTCAGACTTCACCGTTTTTATCAAAAGAAACTTGAACAGAAAGGAAAAGAAACTTGAAAGACCAGGGGCAATTCATTTTTAGAAAATCTAGAAAATTAACAATAGAAAAAGCATTTGCACATTTCAGTTTTGAACTATTTTGCTAAACATCATGAGCATTTGGGTGAATCTAAGTTACACAGGAAAATTACTCCTTTAAAACTACTGATCCTGTTAAATATTTGTCCCCAGTCTCCCTCAACTAAGAACTGAAAATATGGTACATCTCTCGAAAGGTCAACAACAACTTTCCTGTATGTCCAGCCTTCATGATTTGAATCAAAAATCAATCAAGAATAAGTGCTACAGTATAACTGTTTTAAATGGATACATCTGAAATCAGAAAGGCCTTTGTAAAGAACAGAAAAGTGGCAGCCTGTTTACCCAGGAAAAGTGAGGCTGACATTAACAATTTAACGAGGTAAAGACAAACACTGGCTGAGATGCAGGGACATCTCAGTTAAACACAAACACATCTGCCTGGCGACCTCAATCTGAAGCCAAACCAACACATCCTGCTCAGAATAAACCACAAAGGAGCAACGTGGTCACAGACAACGTAGATGGAAATGCGGGATTTCCAAATTTAAAGCAGAACTCAGGAAGTGCCATTTTAGTTCTGAAGAAATTGAAAAGTTTCTAAAGGGCTTTAGAATGATGGTTCTCTGAGGGCAGAAGAATGCCTGGATTAAAAACTTAATCGTTAAAACAATCCTATAATTTTGTAGAAAAAGCATGGTAAGACTGAGGTAATTCACTGCTTTTCTTTCAATCCTTCATAGCATTAGCATCATATAAGCTACTTAGCCAGATTGCTGAATCATCAGTTGTACATTCACTTAGGTCTGCATTCTCTCTCCTGGCTATAGAGCAACTTGCAGGTTAAAAAAGAAACGCTTTGCTTTCTTATAATCCATGCAAGTGAGGACATGCCAGCCAGAGACGCTTGTTTTGAAATATGATCAGAGAAAGAAAATTCCCTGAAACTGACCAAACAGTAAGTCTTCTAGGCCTGTAACTGCCTCAGATCCAAGCCTTTCGTCCCTGCGATCCCACCTTTGATTTGTGACATGCATAATCTCTTGGAAACAGCACATTTGCTAGTGACACCATTGGCATTATCTAAAATAGGCATCTTATAACTACGGAGCACTGCAAAGCAAAATGAAATAAAACATTAAAAGGCAATAGCTAAATAAGTGGCCAATAACTTGATTATTGTCATTACTAGATATGGTAAACACACTGTATATATATATATATATATATATATATATATATATATATATATGCTAAAGCAGTGTCATTTTTGTTTTCTTAGGCTGAAATGCAAGTATTCTACACACCTGCGTAACATGTCTCTGATCAATGAATGAAAAAGACCTCAGTAGATATACACCTGGAAAAATGGGTAAAATGGAAAGATAGTGTGTTATTACAATACTTAAACATTAAAGAATAATTTGTGTCATACTTTGCCTGAAGAAAACGGATGTAAACTTGGCATTTTGTATGGCAATTTTGGACATTTTATGTAACATTAAATTCTGACCTGCTACAACAAATGAGCTTGATTTCTCTGCAGGGCTTTTCGCTGACAAACCACACAAGTCGATCCAATACTTTATTAATAGGAAAGAGGGCTGTACACTTAGTTATATTCAGTATTAACCAGAATAGGGTCAAATCTGCTGAACCGAAAGAAAAACGTCATTTGTTTAGAAAATTAGGTAACGCTTTACATTAAGTGCACCTTCATAATGCATTCATTATGCATTCATACAACATTCAGTGCACCTTCATGATGCATTCATACAACATTCATAAGCAGCATGCAAGTACACCTTAACATCCTAACAGCCCTTAACAGCTTTAATATACACTAATAACAAACATTACATGATTATACAATTATAATGCTTGTTATTATTATACAATGTTTCTTATTAATGTATATTACAGCTATTAAGGGATGTTATGATATTAAGGTATACATACATGATGTTTATGAATACTTAATGAATACATTATGAAGGTGTACTGAACATTTTATGAATGGAATATTAAAGCATTATGAAGATGCAGTTAATGTAAAGCGTTACCGAAAATTATAATAAAATATTTTCTGGAAGGAAAGTACCAATAGAAAACCATTTCTACAAAATTAGATTTTATTCATACTTTTTGCTTGTCTAGAAGAATGAGTTATTAAATTATGGGAACTATAGCCAGAGCGAGAAAACAATAGAAACAATATATCAAACCATTGTGTCTGTGTTACACTCATGGCTGCATGGTCACAGCCAGAAAGTGCCACAGCCTGACAGACTGGAAAGACCCCCCCCCCCAGACATGCCTCAGGGCCATAGCTTAGCTGCTGACTGTTGGGGGGGGAATACTGTAAATCATGTGTTTCCCAATCTGGTCGTCGGGGACCCATAGAGCTATACTGTCCTATACTGTCCTATACTGTCCTATACTGTCCGGCAGGGAGCTAAGAGGGAAGAGGAACGTGGACCGTCTGTGGGTCCCCGGGGCCGGCTGGGAAACACTGGCGTAAATTCTTTTGGAACCAGGGGAAAACCTTTAGCAGTCAAAGAAGAAGAAGAATGCGTGGTGCCAACCTGAGTGGTTTCGGGTAAGAATTTAAAAAGTCCAGCCTCTTTACATTCCACTCAGCGTTTCAAAATGCCACCTTAGGAAACAATATTAAGCATTGTATTAAAAATGGGGATTAACAAGGTTCATTACCTTGGAATTCTATGTATGTGCAATGAGGACACGCTGAATGGCCAAATACAACATGACTTAAGGTAGGATGAGAAGGGTAGCCCACTTAGTGTCCTGTGTACTGGGAGTAGCAAGTTCACTTTCATAGCCCCCAACCATCCCTAAATACTGAGCTCCTGTAACAGGCGAAGGAGGGTGTCCACATTCCCCTAATAGCTGGGCATGTGTCATTCCACTGAAATTGCTTTTAAAACGTCTGTGAGAATGAGGCAGAGAGGAGTAGGGGCCCGGGGCAAAGAAGGTGGGTTTGTTTGAACACAGAGCAAAACAGCAGAGTTGGAGTGTCACTGGGGCCTACATTGCCCTTCAAACCACACAATTCGCAGGGGCCTACATTGCCCTTCAAACCACATAATTCGCAGGGGCCTACATTGCCCTTCAAACNTGCCCTTCAAACCACATAATTCGCAGGGGCCTACATTGCCCTTCAAACCACACAATTCGCAGGGGCCTACATTGCCCTTCAAACCACATAATTCGTAGCGTACCAGGCCACCTTCCGATCATTTCCACAATACGTTGTATTTTCACTTAGTCTTTCTCAGCAGAGTGCGAGTGTCTGTCAGAGAGGAGCAGCTCAAAGACTTGATGTGATGCCCTTCAGCCCGACTCTGTTTTTATTGACAGCTATAAAGCCATTTGCAGTGAAGCGTTTTTTTTTTTTTTCTTTTTGCTGTTGATCTTATATCTCTAAGATTCCCCCAGAATTCCTTTCGTAACATACAAACTGACGGAATGAATGAACCGCTGAAACTCAACACAAACTGATGTCTCTCAGAGGACCAATCAGCTATTCAAAGCAAATGCTAATGTACGGTTTGAGTTCATACTCAAATGCACGATGCAAAGAAAGATAAAATGATTGATGCTAGAAAAAAATGTCAAAAGTCTGACGATGGAATGCTTGTCACACAAACACAAATAAAATGTTGCCTTAACGAACAGCCATTTTTTATTAGGCTATTGCAGATTGTATCCCTACCAAATACAGGCTCCTTATTCATCTCACCCAAGTCCCACTACTCAATGTTGTGCTCTCAGCTTTTTATCACAGAGATAAGAAAGTCTTCCCACACAAAAACAACACTTTCTTCACACGAAAGTGTCATATATGCCAATTGGGACAGATGGGAGACCAAAACCATCAGTACATCTCTGTTATTAATCCAGGTGACCAGACAGAGACCAGGTACATACAAAGAAACATGCTAGAAAAATATGGAAATATTCTGCAAACTGCAGTCTTGTTGGATCAGATCCTATACAAAAAAAAAACAGCATTGAGAAATTCTCTGAATACAGAATAATTTATGTTATGATATAGATAAGAGTCAATTTAGGGTGATACCAAGGGATAATTGAATTTCACATCTCCAGGCTTATTATGGCTTTATTTTCACTCAAAGTTGTAATATGAGTCACATGATTAATGCTCCTTCAGGCCATGCAGTAATTGTTCTGACGCCATACACACGTGTGGCACAGCTGGCTTTCCACTGGTTGTAGTAAGTAACAGTATCACAGTTTAACCCCAAGAGTAAATAAAATGTATCCCCATACCTACTAGGCTTGCACCTTATATTGAAGGTAACTGATAGTACAGCTTGCTGACTGCTTCTTGAATGATTGTGTGTGTGTCAGATGTGTACATTTGTCTTTGGAGTGATCTGTGCTATTCTTCCCACGGTTCAGAATGTCTTCCCACATGCAAGAAACAGTGTAGACCTCTTTCTAGGGCACATGAGCCCAGCACAAGTGAGAGTGCATCCTGCCTAAGCACTTTGTACCAGTGGACATTGTAAACAAGTGCACTGACACGCCAACGCACAAGCAACAAACGCTCAAAAAAAAAACAGTGACGGAATCTTCACATTTAGACATAAACACATAGAATTCTATGCGAATAAGTTGTGGTTAGTAATGGCAACGGGTGGATACTAGATACCAGACAGGTAGTAGAAATTAGACAGTGGAGATGCTGATGTATTGGTCTCCCTTGTCTATGAAGCAGTGAATCCAGATCAATAACAGCTTGTCAGTGCCAGGCAGCGTACCTCATTGAGAACAGCTACTCCTGGGCAGGGCACAGACCAACCGCAGTGCAGGAGTCCAGCTCATAAGAAGGTGCGGCTGGGGTGCTGAGGTATCCATGTCCGGCGTACACTGCCTCGCTCTCCCAATCTCCCTTAGATATTCCTCCCCACTCTTTCCTTCGAGATTGCCACCAGAATAGCCCTTCCGCCAATATCAGCCTGAGACACTCCAGCTCCCAAACCCTCAGTGAGCTTGTTTCTCCGTGCACCTCTCCTCCCCCGCGGGAGGAAAAAAAAAAGGCTAAAACTGAAATCACTGTCTGGGCTGTCCACTCACAATCCAGATCATTTTCCTGCCATTTCTCTCATTTTCCTCAGCAGTCTATCGCCGTCTCCTGCTCCCCCTCAGCGTTTCCAGCAGAGAAGGTCAACTCGTCGTCTGCGCCTCTTCCCCGAACTGTTATTTACTGTCTCGTCCGTGTCACCTGCCATCGGAGGGGAGCGTGGAGAGAGTGGCCGTCTGGCACGGACACGTAGCCCCGTGCGAGTGTGTGTGCTCGCCTGTGCAGAGCTCCGGATTCCCGTGCTTCTGCCGCGCTGCTCTACAGGCATGCAGGTACCAAGGGAGAGGAGGGGGAAAGGATGAGTGAGTGTCTTTGTAAGTATCTGTTTGGAGAAAGCAAGTCATTGCTAAGACATGCCCAAGCCGACCAAGCACCCCCAACACCCCCACCCCCCAGGATCTCCACCCCCCTCTCTCATTTCCCTGTTGTCAAACATAAGAAGGAGATGGCTAAGATCCTCAAGGACTGAATGCTCAACAAAATATGCATCCCTAAAATTAACACAGCATAATATTTAACTAGTATTTTTAAATAAGTGCAAAGAAAACATGCATATATATTATCATTTGTATATATTATCATTTGCAGTTTAGGTAAATTGTTGCATTAAATCCTTAAAATCAAAGAACTGAAAATAACTAAATATCTACCTAAGTGGCTTTACTTCTCAGACACCATGTTTTATGGTCAGCAGCACGAGATGTTTGTCATACAGACAATTCGCACACCTGCGTCTGGTTTTTCTTCAGTTGGCCAAGGCCAGTTTCTGTGGAAATTAACAACATAATGCAGAACAAATTTATAAAAAAAAATGATCCTGCATAGGAGATAGGATGCATTACGTATTGCAATTTTTGATATATTTTTTATTTTTTTGGTAAAATAATTCCCATTTCATATATTAAATGCCGTTATTAATCAAACATATCGAGCATAAAACGTATTTTCACACCATTGCAATTCTGAAAACATGCTGACAGGCAGCTTCTAAGATAAGTAACTACAACATTGTGCATTTCTGTGAACTTTGAATTATTGCCACTCTGTAAGTGGACCTATAAAATATCTATATAGATTGTAGCAAGATAAAAGGTGATTACAGAAAAGCATGTGGGTGGGTGGGGACTCTTTGAGGTATCGTCAGGCCAAACGGGGGCTCAGGTATCCACATCCCTGCATGCCCTTGTTTTGATACAGTTTGCGGAGGGGAGGCATGGACTACACCGAATCTACTGGCTGCCAGATTGCTGTCCTCTGCCCAAGGCTACCTCATGTAACTATGCCACTCCCCCTCCCCCCCAATCTGGCAGGTCCCCGCAGTGGGTGATAGGCACCTGAACACCGCCAGAGCCACTGCCGACGCAGCAAGTCTCGGCGTCCTGACATGTATGAACGCACATTTCCTGCAGGGTGGGGCAGGGGTAATACGTGGCCCGGCAGCGGGGGGGGGCGGAGTCAGGACCACAGTACAACTGCCAGGGGCAAAAGAGATAAAAAGCAAAGTATTATATAGAACACCTGCCTGACTCCTAATAAATCTTTATTTTTTTTCCGGAAAAGGTTTTCAGTTTCCAGCAAAGATATCAAACAAAAGGGCTGCGAACAGTGAACAGACAAAAAAAAAAAAAACTTCAAAGGTCCATGAAGAGTTAAATTAAAAACATTTTTTTTTAATCCGAAAGAAGAACTACAAAAAAATCCAAAACCTCTATAACTCCTTTATATGTGGATAATATGTATCTTAACTTGGTTTTAAAAAGCAGTTGACTGAATCATAAATAAAGCTTCTCTTTCGTATGAATACTATAGTAAACCACTTAGATTTTATAACACATATTAGCATTTTTAAATGTGTATTATTATCCTAATTAATTCAATCAAACTTTATGATAGTAATATATCACTGGTCAGCTAATAAATTGTACTCCCCAATGAGGAAAAACAAACCCGTGCCCCCCCCCCCCCCCCCACATTTCTGCCACTGAATAGTTAAGGGAATTATTAAGGCTCATCGCTGGTCTCGCATTCCAGCATAGGAGCTGTCTGCACATAGCTGGGGGCGTGGCTCTGGCTGTCAGCGTGATGTCAGAATCACTCTTTACTCAGAGTGCTCACCATTACGTCCCTGATAGCCACAAAAACACATAACCATCAGCTTTCCTGCCTTGTTGTGTTCACCGTGCCAGACAGAAAAGGCTCCAGCTTACGTACAGTTTTGTTTCTCAAAGTACAAACAACATTAATGTCCCCCAAATGGTACAAACATGTGTACCTTCAGCTAGGGGACCACTGCAGAACCTTCAGGGTACAGCCCCAGTGATTAACCCTCAAAGGTACAAATTGGTGCCTCTATTTTTTTGTCAGTGCATAGTCATATATTCATAGCCACAAACGTTTCCACACATTACTGTGTACACGGGCACACATTTGACACAGTGGGCAACTTTCCAGCTGTGAAAATTTTCACTTTTAATCACACAACCAACAGCATAACAGTTCAATGAAGAACCCAACCTTCTGTGTCCTAAACCAGCAAACGTACTACACCAACACCAATACTTCCAAGTCTTCCACGCTAGCAGTTATGCTACAAAGAAGCAGCATTCAGTAGTAAACACAGTAGTACTCTTTCATCTTCTTGTGCCAGAAGCCATACTAGAAGTGACTACCAAAAGCACTCATCCTTGATTTGTGACTGGGGGGTATAAGGGGGCTATTACATATATTAAACAAATAATGTCTTATCACGTAGAACATTGCTGGGCAAACCTACTATACCATTTCCATTTGAGTACCATAGAAGAAGGATCTCAGAGACTTCAAAATAAGAATGATTATCGGGTCACACATGGAAGGACCTTCAGTGACAATGACGGGCCAGCAAAGTGAATGTGAACAGAAGCACATTCTTCTTGATTTTAAAATTGAGGAGCTTGAGATGCAAATCAAAACAACCTCTGAATCATTTCACTGAAAAGTAGCAGTTTACTCAGTAGTGGAAAATATAGCATCAGAGGAGACGTCCTTCACACACATCTTAATGTGGAATGGTGTGCTTGTTTCTTGAAAGGAGAAACTCTGACTCAGTATGTGTTTTTTTTTAGAAGTATAACGTAAAATCACAGACACTTTAACATCTATGCCACGGCATATTGATACTATATCCTGCTGCCTGCAGACACCATATTTTGACGCTTTATGTTGTTGTTTCCTCTTTTCTGGTAGTTGCTTGTACTGGTACTTGCTTGTTTTCTATCCTCTAATCCGCAACAGGGTTGCTTGGACGCCTGGATCTTGCGTGAGACAGGAGTGAGACAGGAGTGAGACAGGAGTGAGACAGGAGCACCCTGAATGAGAAGCCAGTTCATTGCAGGGCACAGACAGACACACACACACCATCACATACTCAGGTCAATAGAGAGACATCATCTTGCCTGCAGATTCAAACCCATGGCCCAAACTGTGGGAGGTGACGCCACTTCTGACTGGGCTGACATACCACACCTCTATACTAAACCATTATAACAGATTGACAGGCCAGTCTTCCTAAACTAGCCAATCATGTGGCATTGATATAGGCCCACTGTCTGAGTCCTAAACCAGTGTTTCCCAATCAGGTCCTTGGGGAACCACAGACAGCCCACATTTTGCTACTGGGACCTACCATCAACCAAACAGTATCACCACATATGCCTGATTCCCTTACCACAGTGTACCAGCAGCCCAGGTCCATTTCCAGCATCAGTACAACACTGCATGCCCACGGCTGTCTTATCTTACTGATCTTCTGGCAGCGCAGATGCTCTTTAATAAGCAGCAACACCCGTTAATGAATGTTTTGCTATCCTGAAATGGAAAAGAAAAAGGGCTCCGATAGTCCCTTTTAATTTAGTCTAAATATCCCAGGATTAGGTTCCCCCTCTAGTTTAAGGCTGAGCTTGTGACTGCCAGGAAATTAGAGAGTGGCTGGCAATAGAGTCTCATACTGAGGGAGTTATTTCAAAGTTTAAACACACACACACACACACACACACACACACGCGCGCACATGTAGGGTAAACATATCCTTATGGGGACCGCTCATTCATTTCAATGGGGAAAAATGCTAACGCTAACTATGACAACCTTAACCCCTACCCTGCCCTAACCATAACCATAGGTAACCTAACAAAATACAAGAGTTTTTGCATTTTTAGTTTTTTAATAGCAGTCACCCATTTTTATAAAACCGACCTCCATAAGGGAAAAAAAACAGATATTTATCACGTTATGGGGACATTATGTCCGCATAAGGATAGGTAATCCCGCTCGCACGTACGCACACACACACGCTCTTTGTGGGGACTCCCCATTCATTTCTAGAGGACAAACCTGAATCCCAGTCACGACACCCTTAACCACTACCCAGCCCTAACCTTAATCATAAGCAACCAAAGTACAAGGCTTTTGGCATTTTTGCCTTTTTTTTTCCTTTTTTGATTGTATTCACAGATTTTTATAAAACTGAGGTTATCCAAATGGCGACCTGAAAAAATGTCCCCAAAAGTAAGGAAGTTTCAGGTTTTACCACACTTTGGGGACATTGTCAACACTTCAAGCATGATATGACGATACATACTTAAGTTTGTCGGCTGTAAAATGTAACATATGCAGCTTGTTGCTGTTTATCCATCTCTTGCTGCCTTATGGTACATAATTTGGATAATTGAGGATTTTCCAAATACATCTCAATGCTTATTATAGACAATCTTATTATTTCTTTGTTCAGCTGTTCAACATTAATTTATTTCAGGAACTTCACGTATTCTGAAGATTCTAATTATACTGTTCTAAATGATTACAACTGAAGTAACCTATACTTAAGTCAAGCAGACCAGCCATGGAACAGATTGTTTGATCGTACTTCTTTAATGGTCAATTGCATTTTCCAATAGTGCGAGTCAAAGAAGAACAGCTTCCTTCTCCATATTCTCTACAGTAAAATGAAAGCTGAGAACCAAAAGAATACAGAAGAATGTCCTACTCAGCATACTGTACCCTAACCTATCACTGCTATCAAAACAAGCCACTCAGCCAAGCACCTGGCCCACCCACCAAAATCCAACATGAACTTGCTAAGCTACTTTTTTGTATCTGTAGGATTTACCACAAGGTTTCTTCTTCCAGTGTTTTGACAAGATGCATTGAGTACAGATTTAGATTCTACAGGGACAGCAATTCATGCACTACTAGATGAGAATGTTCTAATAGTGTGGCTTGAACTAGTTAAACAGAGCCAAATCTAATTAATTCACCATTATCTACAAAAAAAAGCACATTATTGGAAGCTCTAGGTTCTGGATGGGTGCATCCGATCTGTCAGAATAATGTAACCCATCACAAAGCTGGAATAAAAAAATAAAGGATTTATACCTTTCAGCCACAAGAATGTAAACAGTCTAATGGCGGTGCTCCATACTTAAGTGAACTCTGTTTGGTATTCTGCAGATACAGGTCCTTGCCTTAGGGTACAACACTTGATGTTTCTGTCACTAACAATTCAAGGTGAAGCTAGTCTGAAAGGGGTGCTGTATTATATTGTACTTCATGTTAATTACAGGTATCCTGTGGTCCAAATTCTTACACTTGGACATTCAGAGAAATATTTTATAATCTATAGCCTTTGTTCTGTTGAATCATTAGAACCTATAGACTATAACAATATAATTGTTTGTAGAAGGTTGTTTAGACGCCGATGAAGGGATGTGACTGTTCATTAAAAGCTGCAAAAGATTATGCCAAATTGTGAAAAAAAAAAACAATATATATTTCACCTGTAAGCTAACAGTGCACTTTAGTTCAGGTCTTAAGCTATTGTTTCCCAACCCAGTCCATGGTGACCCCAGAGACAGTACACAATTTTCTCCTTCCCAGCTCCCTGCCAGAGCAAAAATGTGGACTATCCACAGGTCTCCAAAGACCGGACTGGGAAGCATTGTCTTTCCCCTCTCTTTTTGAAGCATGAATGGCAGAGTTGGAAATTTCAGATCCAGAAACTAAAAATCCAGACCATGATTTTGTTCCAATCAACCAGTTGCATACTCTGTGACTCCTAATACTCAACTAGTTGGTTGGAACAAAATCCTGGTCTGGATCTGTACTTTCTAGACCTGAACTATCCACCTCTGATGGATGGAAATTCCATGATGTGATCTAGGAAAATGGAGGAGATGTGTATTCCTGAGCAGAGTCATTCGAGCTCTTAAACTGGATTATTTAATCTTCCTAAGATTGTAATTAATCCTCAGGGAAACAAAAGGGCAGCAGCCTTGCTTGGTGGGTGTCACCCTGCTCTACACCCCCAGTGCTGTGCGTTCCAGTCGTCTCTGCTGTGTGTGTGTGTTTGGGTAGAGGCTGAATGTTCTCCCAGTGCTGCTCTGGTTTCTTCCTGCAGTACAAAGAAATGCAGTTAATCTAACTGAAAATGTAAATTGCTGATAGGACGCCCTGTGATGGACTGGCAGGGTGTACCCAGCCCTGTGATGGACTGGCATTCTGGACAGGATATGCCCCATGATGCCTGGGACAGAAACATAAACCTGGATTAAAAAAAAAAAAAAACTAAGGACAGCAGCAGAAAAGAAGCAAAGAAACAGCGAATTAAAGAGCAGGGGACTCCTGACTATCATCCTCCCGAGACCCAAGGAAAAAAGTGTCCTTCAATTTAGGTTATTTGTCCTTGGAGGGAAAAAATAAGACAATTTAGATTTTTTCAAATTTATTTTTATTTTTAATTTCACAGCATGTCCTCTTTAGTGTACAACAGGAATAGATACATTTCTTTTCATCAGTGAAAATATAGATGGAAAAATAAAATGTCCACTACAATGGACATAAATGAATGGGTGGGGTCTTAGGAGGTTACACTGTGCGCACAATTATTAGGCAAGTTGTATTTTTGAGGATTAATTTTATTATTGAACAACTACGGTGCTGTCGGTCAATCCAAAATGTTAATGAACCTAAACCTGAATGTTTAAGAAAGCAAAAGTGAGGTTTTGTCTTTCTTAAGAGAATATACACTGTGTGCACAAGTATTAGGCAACTATTAGTGTGCAGAATTATTATGCAACTAAATGAAAAAACGAACATTTTCCCATCTCACTTGTTTATTTGTTGTAGACACTGATCAGAGAGCTGTACTGTTTTCCTACACTGTAAATCTCCCGTTTAAGCAGGCCCCACAGGTTCTCAATAGGGTTTAGGTCAGGTGAGGAAGGGGCCCATGTCATTATTTTTTCATCCTTAAGGCCTTTACTGGCTAACCATGCAGTGGAGTACTTCGATGCAAGCGATGGAGCATTGTCCTGCATAAAAATCATGGTCTTCTTGAAAGATGCAAACTTTTTCCTGTACCACTGCTTGAAGAAAGTATCTTCTGAAAACTGGCAGTAGGTTTTGGAGTTGATTTTAAGGCCATCTTCAACCCGAAAAGGTCCAACTAGCTCATCTTTAATAATACCAGCCCATTCCAGTACCCCACTTCCACCTTGCTGGCGTCTGAGTCGAAGTGGAGCTCTGTGTCCGTTACTGATCCAGCCACAGGCCCATCCATCTGGTCCATCAAGAGTCACTCATCTCATCAGTCCATAAAACCTTTGAAAAATCTCTCTTCAGATATTTCTTGGCCCAGTCTTGACGTTTCAACTTGTGTGTTTTGTTCAGTGGTGGTCGGGTTTCAGCCTTCCTTACCTTGGCCATGTCTCTAAGCACTGAACACCTTGTACTTCTGGACACTCCGGGTAGGTTGCAGTTCTGGAATATGGCAGCACTGGAGGATAATGGGTTCCTGGTAGCGTCACGTTTGATTCTTCTCAAATCTTTGGCAGTTAATTTGCGTCTTTTCTTCTCAATACGTTTCTTGTGACCCTGTCTGCTACTTGCAACAAAACGTTTGATGGTTCTGTGGTCACGCCCCAATATCTGAGCAATTTCAAGAGTGCTGCATCCCTCTGAAAGACTTTTTACAATTTTTGACTTTTCAGAGTCCTTTAAATCTCTTTTTTGGCCCATTTTGCCTGAGGAAGAGAAGCTGCCTAATAATTATGCACACCTTTATATAGAGTGTTGATCTCCTTAGGCCACACCCTCACTCATTACACAAATACACATCACCTGATATGCTTAAATCCACTAAGCACTCAAGTTTATACAGCTTGAAGTTGGAAAATATGCATAAAAATGATATGGGCAAATTACTCACTTGCGTAATAATTGTGCACAGTGTAAGCCTGTACCTTAGACTGCAGACTGGGCACTGAGAATATTGCAGAGAAACAATTTTATCGGCCTTCCGCAGAAAGCATCTTAACATGCCTACACGGCCTGCGGTGACTAAGGAGATGTGAGACCACTGAGAACCATATTCACCTGTCCTGAAGACTGACCAGTGACGTATAACACATTCACAGTGAGCACATCCGAGGATTACACATCTTAAAATTTGATTAGAATAAGACAAGTTTATGACAGTTTCTACAAGTAGCCGTAAAGCATGAATGGTGATTTTTCTATGAATCAAAGCAAGAAAAGGCCACTTACAAATTATTCAGAAAATCCAACTGAAATTCACTGATCTTTTCTCCTTTGAGTCACATGTTAATCTCTATTCGTTTGAAGTACGACTCTTTAATATGTGTAACGTCACAGCCCTCATAAGCCTACTGGTAAGAGTCAAAAGCAAGATGACATCATCAAATGTACATAGCTGTAGATCCTTCTGGTTCCATTTGGATGCAGAACCAGTAGAGTGGGGCCCGGTATACACACACACAAACCTACATTATTGCCATAGAATAGGGCTCAGGTTTGTTGAGGCCTTTCAGTGGCTGGTATGATAGTTGCCCTAACCAACACCCACTCTGCAGTGCTGGATGTTCTAACTGCACCAAAAACACAAATTACAGAGAGTAAACATCAAAAACAAGAACACGGTATAGCACCAGGTTTTTGGGGTTATGCTACATCATCTTTAATTCCTGGAACAGGCACTGCCATTTTTGTGCTGTGTATATTTGCCATTCCTACAGTGCATAATAAAGACACGGCCAAACAAAGCTTTTTTTTTCTTTTTTATAGATTAGACATTATATAAGACAATGCTCATTTGAATAAACCTTGAAAATCGCACCTTTATAAACAGACATGGCTGTACTTCAAGTCCTGGCCTGTGGTGGCGCTCACGCGCCAACTGAAACGTCCACTTGCACTAGTAACCTAAAATTGCAGTTTGATTTCCCCTAATGGCTGAACATCAGCATCATTTCCTTGCTTTGCACCAAGTCTAAAGCACGTTATCCTGTGCTACTGGCACACCTTGCAAGTTCACCACGCACTCGTTTTCCATCATGCAAGTTGGGCCTCAACACAGACCACTTCCTCTACAATTTCCTCTAGGTGCTCAGGAACATAAGACAAAATGTGCCACAAAGCAAACAAACATACATGTAAGTTTTACACCCGCTTACATTATGCAGCATAAATTACAAACCGACACCAAAATGCTACAGACTTTGCTATGATATACATGGTGAGAGAAAATATAGCACATTAAAGTTCTTTTTACCTTTAACAATTTCAAAATGAAAAGTTTGTCTTTAAAAGACATTTTAAATGAAATGAAAATATGAAATGTACAAATTAGTAAGTACAACAAACCGTGAAAATTAGTACAATTAGAAGAATTAACACCACAAACTAATATTTCATCTCAGACTAAACCATTTGCAAACCAGAAAGGGGTCCTTTTGAATTGGACAATTTCACATTCAGCGGTTTGTTGCAAATTATCAAAACATTTATTAATGACGAATACAGCTACTTCCATATATTACATTTGTAATACAGAAGAGGCAGTATTAGACAGATGGACGGACAGACAGGTGGGACTGGACTGGACTAACTCTTAAAGAAGCTATGACCAACTTTTTAAAGCCAGCCTGTGGTCTGGTCAGTGTCCAGCACGACTGCTGGTATCTCCCACAGCAGATTCATTGGCTGGCACTGCGCCAACAGTCACGCAGTCCTGGTGCCACAGAAGCTCTGCAAGGGTGTTGAGGAGCGGAGCCACATTCTGCAGGTCATCACATGCATCCCCGCCGATACAGAACACGGGAACAGCCCACTGCTCTTGGAAAGCCTTCACTTCTCGCTCCGTCACATCCGTGTGCATGAACAGGTCAAACATTGAAGTAACGTCAAGGATGATCACACTGAACATCAGCATCACAATTCATAAAACTCTGTCATAGTCAGTGAGCTGGGATCCATAAGGGGTACTCTGTCAGGACTTTATAAAAGGATACTTGGTGCCGACCACCAACTTCACAACATTATCTGAAGGGTCACATCCCCGAGCAATCTGACCAGGTAAGTCATCAAAGGAAGAGTGGTCTGTGAAGGAGAACAGGAAGAGAACGGCATCCAACTGCTCCTTACAGGTCTGGGGCAGGGGAAACGGATGCAAATATATTACTACACAATAGCGATATATAATAGCTAGAGAATGTCATGAATAAACATCACAGAATGTTATGCAACACTTCACTTTTCCCATTATCAAAAAACTAAAGGGCCTGCAAGACCAAAAATGTTACATTGATTTATCAAATACAAAGTGAAGTATTATAAAGCAGGGAGCAACTGGGGTTAAGGGTCTTGCTCAAGGTCCCAACAGGGAAATCGCTCTGCAAGGCATGGGATTTGAACCAGTCACCTTCTGATCACAGAAACAGAGCCCTAACCACAAAGCCACACCACAGCCCTCATTTTAAACAAGTTATGAATCAATGCCATTTCCTGAAACAGGCAGCAATGCAATGGCATTACAGTAAATTCTCATTATATATGAGAGTCTTCGTCACACCAACTACCTTGTGTCAGAAAATAATACGACAATGACAGCATGTGTGACGGAAACAAGCTACCGGGAGAAGATGGTCAAAGCGGCGCAGAGCATTTTCCCCACAGTCCCACAGATGCAGACGGAAGAGCAGGACCTGGCCGCTGTCCCTCAGCTTCACTGGCCAGAAGACCACAGAGGTCTGAATACCTGAGGATACAACAGTTTGCAAGCCATAAACTAACAAGTACAAGGCAGCACCACCTGCGGGCCTAACGTTTACCGCACACAATATCCAGAGACACAGTTTGTCCCCAGAGAAATCTGTGAAAATACATTCCCCAAACAATAAAGCATGACCAAAAAGAAACCTTTCAGAAGCAGAAACAAAACATAACACAAAAGTTAAAACAAGATGAACCTCCCATATTTTTGTAGCTGGTAGTTTTATTTAAGCTACCTTCACACCTTGGGGGTGTTCTATGAGGCAGGATTTCTCAGTTAGCTGGGAAGTCATGATCGTCCAATGAGAGTTTAGGTAAGGGGCATTCCTATTGGATAATCATGACTTCTAGCTTAAGTTAACCAAGCTAACTGAGAAATCCATGGGGGATCGTGGAACACCCCCCTGCATTGTGGACCACCTCCCAGGATTTTTTTTCATTAGCCAGGCCAGATAACTTAAGCCAAATGTAAAGATTGTCAAATATGAATGTCTCTCCCCCTTTTGGACAGTTTACTCAGCTGGCTTAAGTTATCCAGCTAGCTGCTTTGTGCAACAACCCCTGGTTTTTTAGCTCCCTCTTATTTATCTGCCAAGTACCAACCTATGGTCTCGTAGTGCACGCTAGACACATCCAGACCAGCAAGGCGAGCAGCCAGAGCAGTCTTTCCCACACCACTCTTCCCTGAGAGGAAGACCTTATAGCGGACAGTGTCCACATTTATCAGAGGCGGAATTGGAGGGGCTTCTAGCAAACCTAAAAAAGGAAAATCTTATATTCATATATATACACACACACACTTATATACTTACCAACATCCTAATACTTATACATGCAGTATTCCAGTACACACATTTACCTGAAGAGTACTTCTAAATTACCTGAAAACTGCATTTAAATTATACCCTTGCGGCAAATTATTCTAGCAGTTATAATAAGTTTGAAGGCTGGCATTTTAGTAATCAGTGCATTAAGAGTCATTCATACCGAAAATCCTGCGTTTTTCCTTGCGTTTGATCCGAGAGAAGAATCCCTTTCCTTCCACAGACCTGTACCAGTCCATCAGCACCACTGACCCGGAGGGGGGTGGATGTGCCATAACCACATCCGATCAAACAGCTTGCGTTTAAACTGGCCAGTTACTAGCAGACATCATCATTCAAACCAAATTTGGACAATATGCACGTGTTTTACAAATTACAATACCGTTAGCTGAAAGCGTGTCTGAAAATTGGCCATAGTGTGATTTTGTGTTCTCTCTTCTCTATATTCTACAGGTCCCCGGACAGGCTCTAGCGGCTGGAAAATGGGCAGAGGTATTCAAGTTTGCAATGTATAACTTGTACTGGGAATGCAACATTTCAAATTATTTAGTGTCTGCTTTATCTTCAGCATCCTGCAGCCAGTTAACCAGGGACCACTTAAAACAAGAGTTCACGTTTCTTGTAAGCAATTGCCGTAGACGCGATTTACCGGCATACATTTGGTCAATATCCCAAAACCAAATTACGTTTTAAATAGGAACGTACAAGCTAGCGAGACTGCCTAACAATATATCCGCCTTTCTAATAATCTAAGTCACAAATCGACCATGCAAGCTTTCAACTACATAAAACACTACCCTGCTTACCACAAACAACTCATAACTACAAACAGCGTCCTCCGGCCGACGTACGGGACGGACTCTGACGTAATAGAGTGGGCGGGGACAAGGTCGTTCAGAATGGTCTTGCAAACTTTTTAAAGGGGCCGCAAAGCAAACAAACGTAGCGTATCCTTGTCCTGACTCCCAGAAGGGTTATGGGGACTAGGGGGACATCCCACCTCTCCCGGAAGTATCCGGGAGCAAATTGGCAGCAACACTCTCTGACACCCACAAACGATGCACCATGTGCCGGAAATCTGTCTTTCCACTATTCGGCACAAAGTGACCTCAACTCTGTGTTACAACGGAATTTGTGTTATAAAATTAATAAACCCAAACCGGTCACGTGTTTCCTGTGGAGGTGACGTATTCCTGTGGCCTGTACTACGAAGCAGGGTTACTGGCTTATCAGGGTAACTTGTCGGATTTAAGGTAGTCTGGGCAAAATGTAAGAGAACGAATATGAAGTCCATTTAAACTGTGGTACCTTAAATCAGACAAGTTACCCCGAAAAGCCAGTAACCCCGCTCCGTAGTACAGGCCACTGGTCGGGAATATTTACGCTATTACCGTAATACTAGCCAAACACTGGCCGGCACCCCTCCTCTGCCTCCCTGAAATCAGTATCCCTAAGTTGAGATGCCTGTGATTATGTTGAGACAAACACTAATACTAAGTAACGTTAATTTTATGGCGATTCGCATTGTTTTTCCTGGTACAGCGCCATATTTAGTATATTTCCTTTATTTTTTTCACATTTATTATGCACTTCACCAACTCACCTGGAACACTGATAATTTCAGACACTTGCGGTTGTTTTAATATCGGATTGTCGCGACACATTCGCAAGGAAACATTGTCAAAGTGCGCATCATTAGTGTTACGCACAAGTTGGGGAAAAATAAATTGTGTAAGAAGTCATTAAAGATTTTTGGAATTTGCATAGATCATTTTTTAATGCGCACTTCCTTGTTTATGTCAAAGCCGCTCCACACTTTAATGATATGGGTGAAACGTGCCGGTAAAATTAAAACGTACGTAACAATGTACGTGCAACAGCCTAGTCAATGGATGTTAATAGAAACTTAGTATACTAATAGTGTAGTATAATTGTTTATATAGTTTTATATGGGGCTGTCCGGGATCCTGGATTCCCGGTCAGAAATGCAGTCCCACTCCGACCCTGACTATATCCTTTTACTTCACTTACTCCAAGTCAGACACATAATTCAGCACATCAGACTAAACAATGAACCGCTTCGTTAAAATGTTTACAAACTGAGTTTCAGTGGTTATGATTAAAAGCCTGCATATTATACAGCAATCAATATAATGCATTACACACTGAACTCTTTGCCCTTGAATAGAAACGTATTAGCTTAGGCATATCTTCGTACTGAAAGGCCGTTTTTACATATGTACCTTGTTGACGTGGTATTAAAATGCACGTATACGCGTCTTTTTGTGCCACCTAAATACGGACTTAAATTTGCCATGTCCAGAGGGTAAAAATACCGTGTGGAGACACTGTCTCACGGTTTATACCCCGACGGCATTCCGAGCAATTCCCTGTCCAGTGCGCTCAGGAACCGTTTAGTCCCGTGTGTTCTGGGAAGCTCTCTTTAGCGGAGCATCTCTGCATTCCGACTGGTTACAGCCGAGCCGCCTCATAGCCATTAAATCATAACCATAAAAGGGACTGGCTTCATTTTTGATTCATGAGTTTTTTCAATGTTTTGCGCATATACGTTTCCTTGAAGCACCGCTGTTACTTTAAGCGATGAATATCGATTAATGATTGTGTTCCTCGCATATGAAAAAACGAAACCCACAACTCCCCGAATTACTCCGTATCGCTTTGATTAAACTCCGCGACAGCTCGTTAGTTTTGTCCCCATTCAGATTCAATCACGTGATTTCCGCACACGGTGCCGTTTCCCGGACTCCGAATGGAGGTGGGTTTCAGGTTGGAGATGGACTGAAAAGTGAGATGTGCTGCAAGACGCTGATGGAGGAGTCCGTGAGGGCATAGGAGAGAGTTTGATTGGGGGAGGCAATGTAAAGGTTTTTTTTTTTGGGGGGTGGTCGGGGTCGAATGACACCAAATTACATAGAGAGGATACACTGCATCCCTCATCCCTTCTCGTATATTATGATACACATAACGAAAACATTTTTTGAATACTACGGTTGACTCATTCCAAAGCAAAACAGTTAGTACCCGCGCCATTCTCGATTTAAAAGGGGTATATAAATTAAGTTCCCGGGACGCATATAAAGCGGGAGTCATAAAAAGCGCAAATTGATCTTAAATGTATGCAAGACCTAACAAAAAAATTCTGCTCCCCATAGAAAAGCTATTACACGTTCACAAGTCATACGCTTTATTAGAATAGCACAGTTAAAATAAGACATCTTGATATATTAAACATCCGTCATTTCCTGCTAATATTAAAGCCCAATATATAGTCTTCATGGTGAAAGGTAAACCCTACGATGTCTGTGGAAAAGGAAAAATGTATCATCAGTCTGATTTGTACTCACTTCAGTCTCGTAACCATGAATGATCTTCAGAAACGGTGGTGAAACTTAAGATCAGTAGCCTCCTATAACTAAGATTAGTAAACATTACCTGCCCCGCATCTTTTATGGTCGTGTCGCCGCCTTGTGGTGATAGGAGTCCAATCCACACATCCCTTTCTGAGCTGTGAAAGTCCACCACATTACTTACACTCTCAGCAATTTCAAATCCTTTGTAAACACGAATATCGGTTTGTAAATAGCACAATGGACGCTAATCTAACATGTAGGCTGATTCTTGTTTTACATTTCAAGGGAACATCCACTCTGCTAGAAGTCCTTTACAGAAACAAGCCAGTTTCTGGTCATTACCCAGCATTTGCAGCGAGGACAAAGTCAGCAGGCAGGTTTGAGTGGTTCTTAGAGAAGTGCAACTGGAAGCAGTGCTGGGGCAGCCCATGAAGCTTAGTTTTCACCTGGCCCACACTGACATGGGCTGGGAAGCGGGCATAGTCCAGCACGTGGAAACGGGACACTCTGAAAGGGAGCACTACATCAGTCTAGTATCCAGCAAGTTCAAAAGCAATACTGATGAACAATTTAAAAAGGAGACACTGACGTTTCTAAAACCTTCATGTTCAACCTGTTTCTATTAGTTTCACATGCTATTGTATAATCGGTTTTAAGATTTCTCCCCATCCCTACCAACCGCCCCTCTCAAACCGGGGAGGACCCTAACAGGCTGAGTGTAACATACCCCCGGAGAGATAGCAGCAGCAGGTCATTGAAGAGGTGTAAGTGGATGTTCAGTACTTTACTCAGAAGACCCTTCATTAATACTTGCCGTAAGCAGCCCTCTTGCACTAGGTGGCGCCTGTGACTGATAAGGGGGAGAGACTACAACAACAACAGGAGTGTTACTGCATGCAAATGATGTCACTCATCAGTACCACACCGAGTCACATGAACGTTTATACGGCTGATCAGCGTATTTAATTCCTAGTGAAATACGCAGGACAACCTTAACGCTTTTGAAGTCAAGCTGTTTCTCCAGTGCAACAAGTTTTTCCGTCTGTTTCATGCGCTGAACGCTGTCATCACACTCTTTCAAGATCTGGATCAGGCACGATTTATGAATCGGAAAGGAAAGCGAGAATTGGGAGAGAATTGTGCATAGGTTAGAAAGGACAAAACTAGTGCAAAGTTAATTTTAGACCTGCATTAGGAGCACATTACTAAATTCCATTTGTATAGCACACTACCTGGTGCACGGCCATTATGGCTTCCTTTGTAAGGGTAACTGGGTCAGACTCGAGTGGTGTCAGCTTCAAGATGTTCTAGAAGAGGAAGTTGTACAAAGGATTACTTCACTTATTATATTCACATACTGATGAGCCATATGACCACCTCCACATGACATGAATAACAGACTGTTGATCTTGTTTTAAAAAAGAAAAAAGGTCATAGATATGAGCCGGCATGCCAAAATTCGGTACTCATAGCTACCCAGTGGAATGCAGAAGAAATCAGCAGGGGAGGATCTGAGCAGCTTTGACAAGGACCAAATCATTATGGCCAGACCACTGGGTAACAATCACTTAAACCGTAAGACTAGTATGGTTCTCACAGTCCGTTGTGGCGAGTACCTACTGAGAGAGTAGTCTGATGAACTTCTGACAGACTCATAGATGTGCAGTGTCAGCAACGGCTATCCCATCTGGGACAAGCAAACAGGTGTCATGCATCAGTGGGATGTGCTGGACCTGCAAGCCTGATCCGTGGCTACGCCGCCCCATTCTCATCATGACTCAATGCCCTGCATTCACATGACATCACATCATTAAAATTATTATTTGTGCCACAGTAGCCCTTCAGCTGTTGTATAGCAGATGGGATAGACTTCATTCTCATCTTGCAATGACAAGCTGCTGAAGACCGTGTCAATGGTTTGTGGTCTTTCTCCTCCTCAACTTGGATGACTGTGAGCAGCCCACAGGCCTTGCCATTTCACAGATGCTGACTCAGTTGTCTGGCCATAACCATTTGGCCCTGATCAGTCACTCGAGTTTTCACCCACGTCATCTACAAGTACCGGATGTTGGCATACCATATATCCCAGACCTTGATGGGCCGTGTTTATGAGATAGTCAACACTATTTGCATCACTTGAGGATGGTCAATGTTTTAACTTATCAGGGTATACACTCACCTAAAGGATTATTAGGAACACCTGTTCAATTTCTCATTAATGCAATTATCAGCCAATCACATGGCATTTGCTTCAATGCATTTAGGGGTGTGGTCCTGGTCAAGACAATCTCCTGAACTCCAAACTGAATGTCAGAATGGGAAAGAAAGGTGATTTAAGCAA